AAGAGTGTATGACAAAATGGAAGCAAGGAGGCTCTCAGAGTAAAGACTTACAGAAAGGATGAGGGAGTGAGGAAAACCTGAGGAAAAACTCTAGAAAGCAAGAATTTCAACTAGATGTGGTGGTGACACTGAAGCCCAGCACTTGGGGAAGCAGAGGCGGAGGAGACTGCAAGTTCCAGGCAATTCTGGCAGCCTGGGCTCCATAGGGAGGACTTTTATCAGACGAGATCGGGCGCGTTCAGCGGTGTATGGCCGCTAGACCATAGGGGACTTTTAAAAAGGCAGGACTTTATCAAGCAGCCAGCATCTTTGCAGTCCACCAAGGAAGTCAATGTAAAAGAAGATGAAATAGATGATACTTAGGTACCAGATCATGGGGTTGTTAAGAGGTCTTTGGCTTTGTCTCTGAGTAACCAAGAAACATTACGAAACAGTTGGGGGCACAGGGAAACAAAAATCTGACATACTATTATTTTTAATTACTCTACCTTCTTTAAGGAAAATACACTGTACATGAGCAAGGGTTGAAGTGAGGAGCCCAGACAGGTGGTGTGGTTGGATATGAATGTCCCCAAAGGCTCCTGGTGTCTCAATGATTGGGAGAACCTAATCATTGAGAGGTGATTGGATCAGAGGCCCTGACTTAACCAATGACTAATCCACTTGTGGATTTCCTAACTTGACAGCATTATTGGGAGGTAGTGGGAGATGGGGCTGGTTAGAGGAAGGAGGTCCACTGGGATGTGTCTTTGAAAGATGTGTATTCCCTGGCCTTCTTCCTGTCTTGCTCTTTGCGGCTGACTGCCTGAGGCAAACATCTCCAACCCCACTACCTGCTCCCCACTACGTGGTGGTTCCCCATGACTCAGAAACACAGAGCCAAGTGACCACAGACTGAGACATCTGAGACCAAGAGCCACAATGCAGCTTTCTTCTTTTTCCCTCAGGTATATGTCACCACAATGAAGATCTAACACAGGTGGCTACTGCAACAGTCCAGGCCAAAGATGATGCTAGCTCAGACCCACAGAGCAGTGTCAGGGTAGGTGAGAAGTGTTTAACAATAGAGCCAATAGGATTGCCACTGAAATTGACAGGGGTGCAAGAGAACAGCTAAGGGAAATGCCAGGCTTTAAAAGATGGGGCTCCAATGGTTAGTATGAGAATGGCAGCAGGCAGAGCAGGACTGAGAGACAAGGTCAGGAATTCCATTTGGACTTGTTAAGCTTGAGAGCTTTTGGACGTTTCACAGAGGTCCTGAACTCTCCTTAAGATAGATTCGTGAGCCAGGTAGAGGTCTGAGCTAAAGACAACCTTCAGAAGCAAACCTTGGTTTTCTTCCTTTGGCTGGTATTATATCAATACCTGCTTCATTTGAGATTTAAATTGATAAAGTATTTGACACACCTGGTCACATAGTAGGACTACAACCTGTGTTAGTAAGGACATCATAGCAGTAATTAGAGAACACCACTTAGACTGTTCATGTTCCTTAGACATCAGACTTTGAATTCCCACCACTTTATAAGAAAAAAGTCATGAAAGCAATAGTATATACATTTGATGCAGCCTAAAACTATATTCATCTCCAGCTCACCTCTGCTAGCACCCTCGCTTCACCGCTGATCTCCAACCATGTGAAATAGCCATTAGCTGACTCAAAAAGGAAAGAAAGGGGATACACACAGGAATGTCTTGTGCCCAGCAATCTGCTTTGGAGGTCATACGGGTTTACATAAAAGCATCTGTGTGAGACATACTTACCCTGCTCCAGCCTCCTCTGTATAAAAAGGCAGGACAAAGCCAATGCAGGTGAGTCCAGAAGTGATGAGCATAAGTACCCGATGTACCTGCAGGTGAGATGACAAAGTGAGATGACAGCTGAGTATGTAAGAGAAAGAGCTGGTTTACAGCAGGCAGAGATCATGGTGGAAGGGTTCCCTGAACATCTAATCACAGTTATAGCCCAGGAAAATTAAGATTTATTAAACTTGAAAGAAAACTCTAAGCTTCCATCCTCATTGTTCAAAAGTGATTTGCTGAGGCCACCAACACAGAGCAGCAGGGGTGGGTATTTCGCACACAGAGCACATGTGCTTGCCAAGCCTTCCTTTCCTTCCACAGACATTTGTTAACCTCTGCTACCAAGTATGCTGCTATTGCAGGTGCAAAAATACTGGCTCCTGAAGAGCTTGCATATACCCGACCAGGTAAGTGAAAAATGTATAAAACAAATAGCTCAGTGTAAAATCAAGTGAATTTAAGAGTGAAAATAGGCACTGTTCATTGATCATGCCTGAATAACTGATGCAAGCCAAACTATCCCAGAGAAAGTGGGTGTAATAGTTACCCTATGTTTATCTATAAATGTCACAGTGTACACAACACACATATACCAACACCATTATTTATTTACTTATTATTTTGGTGGTACTAGGATTGAACTCAGGCCTCACACCTGCTAGACAAGCACTCTACCACTTGACCCCACTCCCAGTCCAACGCCATGCTTTCAGAGACAGTAGAGGATTTGGGCTGGAAATTGACATGGAGTCTTCCAGTTGGCACCCACATGAGTGTATTGGAGCAGAGAGAGAGAGAACAAAGACAGTGGAATGAGAAAGAGCACAGTCACAAGGCAGATGCAACAAGGCATACAGCAGTTTGGAGAATAAATAAAACAGATAACCTTCCCAGCCAATAGTGAGAAATGAAGATTAAACAAGGGAAACTGCAAAAAGCTGTAAATTTATATGAACATGAAGTGTGAAGAACACCTCCTGACAAAGTCACAACTGTCCTATTAGTGGTGTATTATCTGCAAGCAGGCTTGTGCTTGCACATACTCACTGATCTTCTACTGTATGTGCAAGAATCTCTGTGCCATGATCCGTGGAAAAGGGATAAGGTTCTACTTCTTTTTTTTTTTTTTTTTTTTGTGGTACTTGGGGTTAACTCAGGTCCTCATGCTTGCTAGGCAGACGTTCTACCGCTTGAGACACACCCCCAGCCCTTTCTGCTTTAGTTATTTTTCTAGTAGGTCTCACTTATGCCAGGGTCAGTCTGGACCTTGATCCTCCTATTTACACTTCCTGCGTAACTGGATGACAGGTATGTGACACCATGCCAGGTTATTAGTTGTGATGGGGCCTCACAAACTTTTTGCCTGCCTGACCAGGAACTGGTCACAAAACTCCTGATCTTCACCCCAAGTAGCCAGGATTACAAGCATGAGCTGTAGGGCCCAGCTATCTTTGCTTCTTGACCCTGTTTATGTTCCATTAAAGATGGCTATCCCTTTACATAGGAAGGACAGCATGGAAGTTTCTCATCCCAGGCACACAACCTGATGAATGGGGATGTCCAGCACTCACTGGCCCGTGGAGCAGCAGACAAAACCCTTCTCTGATAGGCAGTAAGTGCCACTATTTCTTTCTTTGGCTCACCAGCTTTCCTTGACCAGCTCTGTTCAGTGCAAGAGTGAGTGCTCTTTCTGCCTCTCCCTCCACAACACAGGTGTAAGGAAGGCTCATTTGGGTCCCAAAATCTATGTGTGCCCTGACACATTCTCCAGTCCAGCTTGACTCTTCACAAAGCTGTCTGTATTTTTGACCTCCATCAAGAATCTTGTGTCTGGCTGGCACTGGTGGCTCACACCAATAATCTTAGCTATTCAGGAGGCAGAAATTAAGAGACTGCAGTTCAAAGCCAGCCCGGGCAAACAGTTACAAGATCCTCTCTCGAAAATCCTCAAAAAAAAGGCTGGTGGAGTGGCTCAAGTGGTAGAGTGCAAGCGTGATGCCTGAGTTCAAACTGCAGTATTGAGCACCCCCCCCCAAAAAAAAAAAATCTTGTGTCCGCTTTCAATTGGTTAGGAAACCAAAGAGGACCTAAAGCTACAACAGTTATAACTGAAAACAAAAAAGCACACATGCATCATGTTGCAATGTTCAAATAATATGGAAATAGCAGTCAGCGTTTTTTCCTTCACCTACCTGAAACCAACTGCTTGACCAAGGAAGAAAGCTTTTGACCAAACAGGTCTGAGGAACCGGGCAACCAGTACACCTATGCTGACAGTGGTCATCCATGCCACAAACATCAAGGCACCTGCAGGTGAGAAAAGTACAAAGGCTGACACTACAAACAGGTTAAGCTATTTCTTAAATGACCAAACAAATGCTCAGAAAACATAAACATCCTACAAAGTCCCTTTGGCCACAGCTAAGTTTGACCTAAAAGACCCCATGTGTCCTAGTTTTCACCACAAATACTTCTTCTAACAGCCAACACTTCTCTAGCCACTGTTACATGCGAACCACGCTCAGTGCTTTTGGTATATTTGTCAAACTGATCTTACAACAATCCTACAATTGTTTCAGTTTTTCTGGATAGAGGAAACTAAGTCACTTCCCCAGGATGACAAAGTCAGATGTGAACCTGGTATGGCTTCAGGAACTAAATTGTGCTCTTTTGGTTGTTTTTGGAGGTACTGGGATTTGAACTCTGAGCCTCATGTTTGCTAGACAGGTGCTCTACCACTTGAGCCCCTCCCCCAGCCCAGCAACTGTGCTCTTAACTATATACAGCATATCTAAAGTTATTTTAGAATGGTCTCACATCTCACTCCAAGAAATAGCGCAGGGGAAAAAATGATTTCCAAAACCATTACTAAAACAACTGGAGGTACCACCTTGTAGCCTAGCTGGCCTGGACCTCCTGACAGCCCTGCTTCAGTTCCAGGTTCTGGAGTTGAAGGCAGGTACTACCACCCCCAGCTTAATAATAAAGTAATCTTCAAGCTCAACTGTGATGATATTTATGATAACTCTTGCATAACGGGTAACTCTGGAGAATATAAAGGGAGAAAATCAAACAAGACAAATTCCTCCAAATGTTGTTTTATACTACAGCATTTTCCTGCTTTTAAAGTCAATCTCTTCAACAATAACTAGGCTATGTTTCAAATGGAATCACCTTTCACTGGCAGAACCAGAGCATCTGAGAGCCTTGTGTCTAGACTACTGTTCTTCCACGTTCGTGCTGCTCTCACTCAAACACATGACTCCTAAGCACTGCAGTGAGCACGCTGTGCACACTCAAATGCTTGTACATTGACCTGCTCCTCAACAAAACTGTATTTGTGGAACCAAGCTCCTGTTACAACTAAACCACTCTTGTGAAAACTGGCATTTATTTTAACAAAATGGCAAAATTTAAGTCTTGTGAAAGTTAATCAACCCACTGTAGTTATAAACAACTGGAATACTTCTTAGAATTACAGATATCTTAAAAGTTCCATTGCTGATTTTAGTATGCAGCCAGGGTTAAAACCACAGAAGTAAACCTAGTTTCCATTTTTAATAAAAAATAGCAAACATTCAGATAGACGACCTACCTGTAAATGTTAAACATAAAAGACTTATGATAATTTACTAAGTTATACCTGCCACCCTTCATAATCCAGCCAACACTAAGTCAACAGGTAAGTTTATTGCTTGAAGCTGTAACCATACTACACAAATAACTTACCATGAGCCTTCAAAAGGGGTGAAGAATGGGATCCGCCTATGTTCTTTGGAGAGTCTGTCACATTATACTTTCATATGTAATTAGAGGTTGCTTAGAGTGCTTGTAAATTCGACCTAAGGATGACAAAGAAAAAAATATTTCCTCAGGGAGGAGGACTTGTGAGAGAGGCATGGGATGGAAAGAAAATTTCTTATGGTAATGAAAAATAATTGAATATCAACAGACTTGTCATTCATATGCAAAAGTAAAATGAAGATAGAAGCAAACGCACATGGCCTTCATGAAAATTAAAGAAATAATTTAGCCAAGCAAGAGATGAATCAAAATAAAGACCAGGACTGGACAAATTACAGTAACAGAACTGGAAGTACGCAAGAAATATGTTAAGTAAGAAGTGACCCCAACTACTAATCTGGCTGCAAATCACTGAAAATGTCAAGTATAATTCTTGAAAGAGAACAGATAGTTTTAAAACTATCTACAAGCTATGACCATCACCACATCCAAAATCCTAGAACATACTAACAGAAATTGGACCTGGGAGAGATGGTGAGAGGAGGACCAAAAAGAACATTCTGATGATATGGTACTTGGCATATAGTCAATTCAGACTGTGTCTGAGTAACAAATCCAAATCCAAAATAATAGTGACATAAATGAATTGAGAATGCATTGTCTCTTATTACTCTTCATTACATCTAAAATTAAATCTAGGAATGTATAGAATTATTCCAGGTGTGTGTTCATTCTAGGATTCTAACCAACAGAAATATCTACTTTTTAACCAAAGACATATGTAGAGGAATGTTCACAGCAACTTTTTTAATGCTGGTGGAAAAGAAAATATAGATAAACCAAATGTCCATCATTAAGAGAACAAATAAATAAATTATGGAACATACATACTTTTAGAACGCTATGCAAGTATACAAATAATTAAGAAATTTTATAACAGACATATATATGAACCGTTGTCTCAAACAAATATTAGGTAACAGATTTTTTTATCTAAAATAATCTATAAATAATTATATGGGATACAAGTTATATTGACTGACTAAAATGCAGCCAAACTAAAAAGTAACAAAAAGCCAGAAGAAAACTGGAGACAGCTCAAGTGGCAGAGTATTTGCCTAGCAAGCTCAAAGCCCTGAGTTCAACCCCAGAACTGCCAAAAAATATATATAGTCCACCTAGACATTTATAAAAACTACTCTTTATAAAAATTCTTGGACTAAATAAGAAATCAAAACTAAAATCATAAATCTCAGAGATGTGTAATAGTGAGAAAACTTCATATCAAAACACACGAATGTGGTCGGGCGCCAGTGGCTCATTCCTGTAATCCCAGCTACTCAGGAAGCAGAGATCAAGAGATCACGGTTTGAAGTTAACCCACACAAATAGTTTACAAGACCTTATCTCAAAAAAAGTCACAAAAAAGGGATGGTGGAGCAGCTCAAGATGTAGGCCCTAACCCAGTACTGAAAAAAAAAAAAAAAAAGCACCACATGGATGCAATCAAGGTAAAGACAAAGAATTGAAGTAAAATTGAAGTAATCATTAATGTAAGGTGCATTTAAAACAACAAAACTGCCAGGCACCTGTGGCTCACGCCTGTAATCCTAGCAACTTGGGAGACAGAAACCGGGAGGATGGAAGTTGGAGGCCAACCTTAGCAAACAGTACTAGAGACACCATCTCCAAAATAACCAGAGCAAATGGACTGGAGGTATAGCTCCAGCAGTAGAGTGCCTGCTTTGTGAATGAGAAGCCCAGAGTTCAAAACTGCATCCCAACAAACATAAATAAGAAATATAGCCTAGTAAACCAGAAAGGCCCATACAATTCTTAGTTTCCATCAACTCTGACCACAAGACAAAAGGAAATATTACCTTGTTTGAAATTAACAAGTGGCACGGCTGCTGACACAGAAGGAATGCTGTCATTACATGAAAACCCTGCATGCAACTTTAAATCAGCCAAGATGTGTCCAGCTCTAAATGAACTCTAAATGAAATGTACAGAATTACAGAAAACAACCAAAGAGGAAGTAGTAACTCGTAAGAGGAATAATAATACAAGAACTGTTCATAATCAACTGTGTCCATCTCACATTAGACTGTTAGTGCTGTGAGTTCTACCACATCATGAAGAGAACAATTGTAACATTAAAAATTCTTTTCAACAAAACTGGAAAAAAGGGCAGAACAGGTTTTTGTCTGGAAGTGAGAGGGGTGGGGAGGAGAAAGAGGGGGCAGGGGGCAGGGGGGAGAAATGGCCCAAACAATGTATGCACATATGAATAAATGAATATAAATGAATAAATAAATTCTTATTTTAGGGCTGGAGGTGTGGCTCAAGTGATATAACTCCTGCCTAGCAAGATAAAGGCCCTGAGTTCAACACCCAGTACCACAAAAAAAGAAATCTTATTTTATTTACACTCTTCTAGAGTTCATTCTATGAGATTAGCAATACACTGAAAGCAAAATACCTGTGAATACACACACACACACACACACACTCCAACAACCACAGACCAAAGTCACTTACGAATATAGACACAAGAAGCTTAATCAAAATATTAGCAAATCTAAGTTCTGTATTCAAACAATAAAATGTGACCAAGTGAGGCTTATCCCAGGAATCTGCCATGCAGAAATCTATAAAAGTAATGATAAAATATCTCAATAGCTGCCCAAAAGACATTACGGGAAACCAAGCACTCATTCATGATATAAACTCTTAAGAACGTTGGGAACAAGTCCTCAGCACAAAAAGGATTTACAGCAGAGGGGGGTGGGGCAGGATGAGAATAAGAAGTGTCCACCATTTTGTCTCCATGAGTGAGAAGAGTCAGTAACATAGGAGAGACCATCTTCTGAAGAGGGAATGAGAGGAAGAGGGTCAGGAATCACCAAAAGCACAGGGAAACTGAGGCAGCAGAGAAAAGCAGCACACAGTTCCAAGCCATTCCAGGTATGAATGACAAATAAATATATGAACAATGCCCAACATCCTTGGCCAAAAAGGAAATGCAAATCAAAACAACACTGAGATTCCACCTCTTTCCAGTCAGATTGATGTTCATCAAGAAAACAAACAACATATACTGGCAAGGATCAGCATCCCTATGACCTTATGACCCTGCCATACCATTCTTGGGCATATAACCAAAAGAGCAAAAATCAACATACAATCGAGCTATTGCACACCCATGTTTATTGCAGCATTATTCACAATAGCCAAGCTGAGCGATCAGCTTACATGCCCAACAACCAATGAAATGGAAAAGAAAATGCTATATATACACAATGCAGATTATTCAGCCATGAAGAAGAACGAAGTTATGCCATTTGCAGGAAAACGGATGGACCTGGATAATTAGTTGAGCAAGATAAGGCAAGCTCAAAAAAGCCAAATATCATACGCATTTTACTCCTACATGGAATCTAGACCTAAAATGATGATGACCACAACAATGATGGCAACGAGTATAAAAGGGGGGCTGATGTGGAGGGGGGTCAGCAGAAGGGGCAGTGTTAAAAAAAGAGGATAATAGGAGCAAAAGAGGACTGAAGTACATTTTGTGTGTGTGTGTGTGTGTGTGTTTATGGTGTATATGTGTGTGTGTGTGTTTATGGTGTATGTGTATATGTGTGTGTGTTTATGGTATATGTGTGTGTGTGTGTGTGTGTGTGTGTGTGTGAAGGTAGCATAATACAACCCATCAAATTCTGTTTAAATAAGCAGTGTGGGGTGTTGGAACAAAATAGAGGGAATGAACTTGTTCAAAGGACACTATACACGTCTATAAAATTATCACAAAGAAACCCACGTGTGCTATTAATGAATACTAACCAAAAAAAAAATCAAAAAACTAAACTGATATTTTTTTTAAAAGGACATACACCAGAAAAAAAGAAGACAGTAAGAAGACAGGACATTTCTCAGAAGCATTCACATCAAAATCAGAACAATGCAAGAACACTTGCCATATCACCAGTGCCATTCTTTGTTGTTCTAGAACTAGACTGTGCAATCAGACAAGATTACACAGGACCTGTTATTTGCATAGGGCATGACATTTATCCAGGAAACCCAAGGTAATCAACTGAAAAACTAGGTGGGTAAACTCAAGATAAATATTCAAGCTAGTAGCCTTCCTATATACTAGCAAATTTTTTTAATATATGAAAAAGAATCCTATTCACAGTTGTTTGTTCTAGGGGAAAAAAACTGTAAAATACCTAGGAACAAAAAATATTTAAGTCCTATATAAAAATATGAGGAAAACCATAAAATTCCACTGAAAGAAACATATGCAGGACCTAAATAAGTGGAAGATAGCAGAAAGACTTGCTATTATAGAGTTATTATTCCCCAAATTAATCTACAATTTCATTTCACTTTCCATCACAACAACAAATTTTTCACAGAACTTAACAAATCATTTCTAAAGCTCATCTAAAAGAACAGATACTCAACAGGGAGGCAAGAACTCTTGGGGCTAAAGGCCAAAAGGTGGGTGCAGAGGTGCATGCCTATAATCCAAAATACTTGGGAAGTGGGGCAGGAAGATCACTTGAGCCCAGGAGTCCAAGGCCAGCCTGGGCAATGTAGCAAGAGTCTGTCTTTTAAAAAGAAAAAAAAGGAAGACCAAGAAGGGAATCATATTCTTTCAAAATCCACAGCCTATGGTAAGGTTATAGCAATTCCAACTACAGCAGGAATAAACAAATAGATGAAGGGAAGAACAGAAAAATGAGAAATAGTTCGATTTACTGACAGATTGTTAGCATTTGATAAAAATTATTTTGGGACACCTAGTTATTTGTTCAGGGTTACCATTACACCATTCTCCATGATAACAGAGAAGACCAGACATAGAGCAGAAAATGAGAGGTTTATGCAATGAACACCCAGAAGAAAGTACCAAGAGCAAAGCAACAATACCTGTCAGGAACTAAGAAAACCATCAAAATGATAAAGAAAACTATCAAAAATGACAAGAAAAGGCATTAAGAAGCTAAAAATTTTGCATGAGTGGAGTGATAGAAGAGAAATCACATTCCAACAAGCCTGAAAGACAAGTCGAAGAAAAAAATGTTCTTATATTCTGAATCACTGTAGAGCCAAGGACCAAGCATGAACTGAACCTTCTTGAAAGCAGGAGTCCATTACAGTTTTAGAATAACATTGTGTGGTTCTATCAAAGAGCAGCTCTACTGTACGAGAGCTTGACTTGCTTCTTACAAGACTCCATAGAAGTATGTGGCTTGTTTTACACTCACATTGTTTAAAGAATGTATCAAGGTCTCTTCATTATAAGTTGATAGGTTTAATTATGAATTATTTACTTGCCCAAGTGATTTCTACCTTTTGGTTTAAACACTCAGCTTTTTCCTATGACTTCTTGCATCAAGCTACAACAAAAAAGTCAGCATTCTGGGGAAACAGAAAGCTTAAAATGGGTAGATCTTTCAGTAAAATCTGAAACACTTTAGTGAAACTGGATACACTTTACATTTACAAGCTGTATGATTATATGATTACCATGAGAAATGGTTTAAAGCTTACAAAGTCTCACTGTTTGAAATAGAGTTCAACTTATAAATGGTCCACATAAGCCAGGCATGCTAGTACATGCCTGTAATCCCAGCACTCAGGAGGCTGAGGAAAGAGGACCATGCGTTTGACAGTTTGACCATGCTGTACAGCATAACCCTAGCTAAAAAACAAAAGAAAAACCAGGAAAAGGTTCAGATACAGATTTCTAAACAACAGGAGAGAGTTATTTATGCAGTAGCTATCCATTGTTGGCCAGTACAAAGGAAATGGAAAAAGAATTCTCTTGATCAACAATCTCCATTTTTATTTTTTGGAATTTTTGTTTTATTTGCTTTGCACTCCACCAGTTTAAAAAAAAATAAGGCATGCCCTCAATATATTTATATTTTTATTAATAAATATATTCATAGCCATGGCTCACTCCTGTAATCCTTAGCAACTCAGAAGGCAGATCAGGAGGATTGGGTTCAAGGACAGACAGGCAGATAGTTCTCAAAACTCTATCTTGAAAAATATCCAACAAAAAAACAGGGCTGGCAGAGTGGCTCAAGTAGCAGAGCACCTGCCTAACAAGTACAAGGCCCTGAGTTCAAATCCCAGTACTACCACCACCAAAAAATACTGTTTCCAGGCTGGGGGCATGACTTAAGTGGTACAGCTCCTGCCTTGCAAGCTCAAGGCCCTAAATTCAAACCCGGTACTGCCAAAAAAATGTTCTTGGTTCACACCTATAATCCTAGCTACTTGGGAGGAAGAAATAGGAGAATCATAGTACAAGGCCAACCCAGGCAAAGTTAGCAAGATCTATCTCCAAAAAAACAAGCCAGGGGTTAGACGTGCGGCTCAAGTGGTAGGGCATCTACCTGCCTAGCAAGCACAAGACCCTGAGTTCAAGCCGCAGTATAGCAAAAAAGGAAAAAAAGAAGAAGAAAGCCAGGCACGATAGCACCCAGTTACCCCCAGTTGTGGGGTAGTGGTAGGAAGGTCATAGTCCAAGGCCAGCCCCAGGTAAAAGCAAGAGGCTCTATGTGAAAATAAAGTAAAGCAAAAAGGACTGAGGCTTGACTAAAGTGACACTTGCCTAGCAAGCACAAGCCCTTGAGTGCAAATCCCAGTACTACACAAAAGGAAGGAAAAGAAAATACATTCTGAGCCATGAAGAAATTTTTGCATTGCCATACATCACACACACACATACTGTTTCTAGGACCCCTGCAGTAGACATGCCCTTGTCAATACACTCAGGGAAATACAAACATATGGCTTCTTACAAGGTGTTCTAGTTCTTCTGGACAAACTGCATTTTACCAAGTAGAGGCTGTTCTGATCACGTTTAATGGTGATTTGTAACCTAGCTGACACTCTATGTCATTTTCAGAGAAAGAAAGCTAGAGGTTAACCAAAACTCAAAATTTCAGGAGAAAAAGGAACAGGGTTATAGCGCCTTACCTTCCAGTGTGTACCTTAAAAATGAGCAATTACAGGAGTCTTTGCAAAAGGGGGAGAAGTGGAAGGAAGATGAATAAAACACTTGTAAAGATAGTTTTCATCAATGGTGTACACTTACCATCCTTCACTGCACCATCTGCTAGAAATATGTAGAAGCTCTCATTCAGATCAAATCTATTCTTAACCCCAGGAAGGGTAATGTTTCTTCTGAAAGAACACTGAATTACACCATCCGCCAACCTCCAAGCCATATCCTCAAGAATCCCCTACAAACATACACAATGGGTCTTAGCACTCTCCAGAGACTTGCTAAAAATAAGACATTATCAAAACCCTGACCTGTTCGATTTCCTTTCCCCATCATGGTGTGTGCATGTTTTGTATGCAGTGTCATTGTCTGTCACTTCCTCTCTGAAGACTACAAGAAACATTTTCTCCCAGTTTGTCTTGATCCCACTTGGCAAAAATAAGATTTTTACACTGAGCCAGCACCCCATGGTTCCTCGACCCAGGTTGGAAACTTGGGCAGGTGTCCTGATTCCATCTGGCACCTAGCACACAAACAGAAACACTGAAGAAACAAATAAAAAGTAATACATTAGTGGGCCCAATGCAGCTGACCACTGGGGAGGAGTTGCGACCAGCTGAGGAAAGCCATTCACAATGGGATCATGAATGACACCTACTGCTCTATCAGACCTCACTTTCGAGGTCACTAAGTGACAGCCACTGCTCCTTTACAATTCATGTGTTTGTAATCACCCTGTGAAAAAGACACTTCTCTATCACAAATGGTCCACACTGGGCACAGACACCAACAAAGAACACAAAAGACAACTGCCTAGGGTGCCAACTGAGTCTTTACCTATGTGTCCTTCTGCTCCCTAATTAGGGAATCCTAGTGACACTCACCTAATTCTCTCCTTAAAACTGCATGCTTCTGTAAAGGAGCTAATGCTAACGCATGTTAGCAAACCATAAAACACTCTTTCGTTAAGATGCAACTAAAAGAATTTAAGTGACGGCAAGAATTCATCTTTTCCTAAAGAGAAACTCTTTTGTACAACTTCTCAGAGATCCTCATGAGAGGAACCCTGCTGTCCAGTGAGGCTGCTGACTGCAGGGGAGTTGGACACTCTGTCACAGCCCCATAGCAGGAAGGTGGACCAGCCAGGTGGAGGCTCTCACTCACCCTGGAGTCCATCACAGGGTGACTTCGCCCCGTCAAATGAGAAGGCTGTATGTGCACACTCTGATCTTCACGAATACACATGTAAGCATCGTCGTGCCCCTGAAAACAATTGCAAAGGACAAACTCTTAAAAGAGGTTCAGCCATGGTTTAAAAGTCTTTAGATGTTATTTTAGAACACACTTTACCCATTAAATGTTAAATGATCTATGAATTCTAGAGAACTGGCTGTTCATTTGTTAGTTAAAAAACAATTCATTAGAATAGAAAAGTACTAAAATTTTAGTGCAAAATAACAGAGCAAATTGGACGTGTATGGGGGGGTGGTGTAGCTCGGTGAGATAGCTCTTGCCTGGCAGGTGCAAAGACCTGGATTCAATCACCAGTGATGAAAAAAACAGACATATGATAAGCTTATATGTCCACAAACCCACCACGAGTTGATGCAACTATTCATGTTTCATGTACATCATTTAACTTCTTTGTAATTTTACCTATTTTTCCCTTCCCAAGTGGAAAAATACAGTTTCACCTTTTTTTTCACTTAATTTACTATAAATATTGTTTCAGATATTTACTTGTGAACAAATACAGATGTCCTGTATATTCATGGCTGTGAATACACTGTATTATATTAGATATTTTGGGGTTAACTTTTAAGATGGACAGATATTGTAATAAAATATTGCTACATGTTATACATACTCCATAGATATCTTGTTACAAAACTGAAACAAAACTATCTGAACTCAAGGAGGAATTTTTTATCAGTATAATTCTTATTTATCCTTTTGTCTCTAATATTCCTTAACTGAAAGTTAGGCCTTATTCTTGAAAATGGTTGGGAGAAGACAGGCTTCAACCTCAAAGTACACTGAAGCAACGAATAACCTCCACTTTAAGAAATTTTTTTATAGACCATAAGCTAACAAGGTCTTTTATGCGCTCTGGTCACTAGCTTTTTTTCACCTTTTTATGAGCTGGTCTTTCTCTACGTTACCCAGACTGATCCTGAATTCCTGGGCTCAAGGGATCGTCCTCCTTCAGCCTTCCCAGTAACTGGAACTGTGGGCAATGTCACCACACCCAGTTCTAGTCACTAACTTCTTAAACAAGATCCCAGACTATCCAACTATAATAAATTTTTCTATAAATTCCAATATGTCCCAAACTTGGGAGGCTCAGACAGGAGGATTAGGCCAGCCTAGGCTACACAGTGACTTGTCTCAAAATCTAACATGAAATTCTAATATATTTCTGTATGTCCAAATTTAAAATGTTACACTTTAGAAAACTTTCAAGGGCTGGGGGCATTGCTCAAGTAGTAGAGAACCTGCCTAGTAAGTGAGAGTCCTGAGTTCAAACCCCAGTACTGAAAAAAAAAAAATCTTTCAAAGACATAATCCTAGCAAAGCAATTATTCACTGTTACACAACTTATAGTCAAATCAGAATTTGCTCAATTCAAGACAAGAAACTTTCAATGGACATGATTTAAAACAAGAGTTAACAAATTGAGGCCTGCAAGCCAAATTCAACCTGAGGATAATTTTTACACTGCTTTGGGGCTAAGAATGATTGTTGTACAAACTTAAATGGCTTAAAAAGTTAGAGGAATTATTTATGACAAATGAAAATATATCAAATTCAGTGTCCATAAATGTTCTGTGGGAACATGTAGCATACAAGGTTGCTTCTGTACTCCAACAGAGCTGAGTACTGGGACAAGAACCATAAGGCCCACAAACTCTAAAACAGCTCCTATCTGGTCCTCTACAGAAAAGGTTTGCTGAACCCTGGTTGTAAAGAATGTGTTTTCTAAAATGTCTATCATTGACGAGACACAGGAATACTTTTGTTGGTACAAGCCACGTCAGAGATAGTGACAGTGCACTCAAGAGAATAAAAGAGACACAGCAAGGAACAAATCAAAAGTACATGACGGGCCAGAGGTGGTGGTGCAAACCTATAATCCCAGCTACTCAGGCAGAGGAAACAGAAGGACCAAGGCTTAGGCCAGCCTTAACAAAGTTGGCACCAGACCTTATCTGAAAAATAAACTAAACACAAAAGGGCTGGCGGTGTGGCTCGAGTGGTAGAGTTACGACAAAAGAGAAAGTACATGGGAGGACCAAGGGGTACCTCAGTGATAGAGTGTTGGCCTAGCACGCATGAGGACTGGAGTGTGATCCCCAGCACCACCAAAACAAAAAAAATAAAGTGCGATGAACATTTGAGCACTCAAAACTTGATTTCCAAACACTGTTCTTACTAGTGGGAATACAGCCCCTTTGGAAAACGAGGAAATGCATGAGCTGGGGATGCAGCTCAGTGGTTGAGTGCTTGCTTGGCATGTATAAGGGCCTGAGTTTGATTCCCAGCACTGAAAAAAAAAACATGAAACTATAGTGGAAAACACACCTTGACACCTTGTTACAGCAGAAGACAAGGACATGCTCAGAAACTGACGGAGGGACATCAAAAGAGCACAGAAGCCAGCTAGACAGGGCACCCATCGGCCACCTCCAGGTCAATGGGACCATCTAAAAGAAGAATGGTGGCAGTAAACTGTGGCACAGTGGACAAAAGAGATCCATTAGTTTATTGTGCTACTCCAAAAGGGAAGGAAAGGTGCCAGGAGAAGAAAGCTCTTCTTTTCAGAAGAATGTCAGCTCATAAATAAGGTAGAAAACCACCATTTTGTGACCACAATGTAACCACTGATGAGAAGCAGCACCAATTAATGCTAAAATCATTTGTCAGCAGGCTGTTGGGGAGCAGAATACTCAGTCTCAAAGCATCACCCCACGTGTTATTGATTACACACAAAGAGGAAATGCACCTGCACCCTATGGAAATCTGACAGACACAATCATACAACAGAGCACCGTTAAGAACAGGACGATTTCACAGCGTGCACCTTTTCACATGGTGCAGTGATTTGGAATCAACATCCTTTGTGCAGTAGAGGTGAGTCTCAGTGTGAATCTATTTGTATAAAGCGCAGAACATTCTACAAAACATCTGGCCTGAAAAGGAAAAAAACAGTCAAGAAAAAAAGGTAGGGTAACAGTTCTAAGGCAAAGGAGATCAACAAAAATATATGAAATGCACTGAGTGAAAACTGTGGATCTTAGATCAGAATTAAAAAAAAAAAAAACAGCTAGAAAACTAGAAAAGCACTTTGTTGGGACAATGGAAGAAATTTAATGATTGACAATGTATTGCATAAATTATATCTTTATTAAATTTTCTCAGAATGATAAAGATATTGTGGTAATTATGGGAGAGTGTCCTTGTTCTTAGAAGAGATATGCTGAAAACTTTCATATCATATGAAATGCTGAAATTTCATATCTACAACTTACTTTCAAATAGTTCAGGGAAAAATATGTCATTATGTATATTACATAAACTAATGGAGGTAGAGAGATACAGATGGAATGGACAAAGAAAAAATGGCAAATCCAGGTAAAGGGCTGATGGGTGATCACTAAATTATTCTTTCAACATTTATGGAGGCTTAAAGTTTTTTATAAGGAAAAGTTGGAGGTGAGAGGAAGGACCTGAGAGATGAACGAAGGGAGGAATCTAAGTCACATATTCTTTGAAAACCAGGGGAGATGTTGGCAGAAGCAAATCAGATGTTCTATAGATTACCTAGATGGGTACCTGACAAGAAGCAAGCAAACAATAATGGTAACTGTGTTTTCTATAGAGTTGTTAATCACAAAAGCAGGGAACACAAGGAGACCTTAGGAGGCAAAATAATAATAAATTCAGTTGGTGATTTGTGTTGTCCAAGAACAGTAGCCTAAGTTCAAACCCTAGTCCCATTCAAAAAGCAAAACAACAACAAAAAAGAGCAATTACTTGGATGAGAACCCACATCTGGGATGATCCTAGAATTGGCCACTGAAAGTGGTGTAAGCCACAAAATGGTACACAGCAAGGGTCAGATGCAAAATATATAGTGGGTCTCCATCCCTTTCTCCTGGCATAGAACTCTTAAAGTCCTTGGAATTTTCTATCATCTTCTATTGTAATGGTTTGACTGATGGCTGGCAGCCCCTAGTAGTAATAGGACTATAGGATAGGGAGTTTTTTGTTTTTTTTTTTTGGCAGTACTAGGGTTTGAACTCAGGGCCTCATGCTTGCTAGGTAGGCACTCTACCATTTGGGTCACTCTACCAGCCCTTTTTGTGTTGGGTATTTTCAAGATAGAGTCTCAAAAACTACTTCCCTGGGCTGGCTTCAAACCATGATCCTCCTGATCTCTGCCTCCCGAGTAGCTAGGATTACAGGTGTGAGCCACTGGTGCTTGAGCCAGGGTTGGAACTTTGAACTCCACTCCCCAAACTCTGGGAAATGAGAGGGGCTAAAGGTTAAATTACTCACCAGTGGTCAAGAATTTAATGAATTGTGCCTATGTAATGAAGACTACCATAGAAACCCAAAGGGTTTCTGGGAGCTTCCAGATAGCTGAACATATGGAAGTTCCTGAAGGGTGACAGCCAGGAGAGGGTGTGGGAGTTCAGTGTCCCTTCTCCCATCTCTCACCATCTGCATGTCTTTACCAATATCCTTTGTAGTATCATTTATAATAAGCCAGTAAATACAAATGCTTCTGAGTTCTGTGATCAGCTCCAGCAAATTAACCAAACCCCGGGAGGGAGTGTTAGGAGCCCTGGTTTGAAGCCTGTGGACTCAGAAGCCCAGGTAAAACAATCTGAGGCTGTGAAAGGCATCTGAAGTAGGAGAGGCAGCCTTGGGCATTGAGCCCTCATCCTGTGGAATCTGATCTGCCGCTATCTCCAGGTAGGTGGTGTCAGAACCAAATTGAATTAGAAGACAACCAGCTGGTGTGTGGGCTGAAGCCCCCACACATTTTGGGATCACAGTGCGAGAAACTGAGTCTGTGTTTGTTTTCCACTCATCAGGGAAAGAGATAGAAGCTGCTAATGTGGACCCTTGATAGATTTCACATTATTTAACAAAATATCTCAGATAGGGAAAATGTATGTACTTGGAAATTCAGTTAAAATTCAAACATCAGCAAGACTTTTGTTAGCAAAAATATGGAAAGCTCTACTTTCCATCAACTTTTTGATTAGGTCTAATACTAAAACAATTTCTATCATTAATTTACAAGCCAAATTTTTTAAAGGTTGTAATTTAGGTTATCTAATCAAAATTTATAACATCAGATATTTTCAGTATTTAAATTAACATTACGTACTCAAAAATACAGGTCATAAAAATACTCTCACAATTTAAAAATAACAACCCAAAATAGAAATAACAACTTTAAAAATATATTTTGAAGATGATTCATTTCCACCAATTTAGGCAAGCAGGTGTACAGCTGATTTTAATCATGACAGGCGCATTCTGTAAATCAACTGCACCTGCATAATTAGGTCTTTTTTATAAACATTTTTGATGAGTACTACACTAGAAACAGAAGATTTCCAAGTAAGATAACCACATCCTGAATTAGAGAGAAGTGCTTTTGTGCTAGCTATGCCTACAGTGTAGACCTGGCTACATGTTGGCTCTTCGTCCACACACAATGCTGTAACAGTGTCCTTCCTTCTCACTTTCAGATTTTATGTGGCCAGTAAAAGAAATATGGAAATATATCATGCATGAATTTGGGCTTAAAGTGACTGAAGTAAGTTGTTACTTTTTTTTTTCTTTAGTGATTAAAACAGATATTTAAATGAGTGCTATATACCGGAGATAAATATTAATGAAATTATGTATTTATCCAACAAAGCCTCTTAATCCTTGCTGGACTTATATTCAGAATTTTCTTTGTTGCAAATTTTGTTACATTCATACAACAAGCATTACCACCTTTATTACCTTTTTTTCTGTTTCCTATTTTTTGGCAGTACTGGGGTTTGAACTCAGGGCGCCCTACCACTTGAGCCATGCCCCCAACCCACCACCACCTTTCATATTTGCTTTATACTGACAGTTGGTGTGTAAGCCAGCTCATGGGTCATCCTGTGCACCAAACCTGATTCATTTGCCAGCTCTGAGAGTACCAAAAGACTAAACTGCAGGTCCGATGATAAATACAAAGGAGAATTGGGGAAAGTGCTTTGAACAACTGCACCATCATTTTCCATACAAATGTCTAAAACTTCTTATAAAGGTAACTTTGAAGGGGAAAGAATCAAAATTTCTAATTTTTGAAAACACATAGAATAGCCTGACTCTTGTAGATTGAAGGTATATCCTGGGTTTTGTAAAGATGACAGCAAGAGCCTTCTGTAGCTTTACAGTTAATTGTCTGTGTTGTACACATTCACCGAAATATCGTCTCCCCCAAAAACAGCTACACCTGGCTTCCTGCTACTTGCAACCACCTGGTGCACCAGGACCAAGGTGAGTAGAGTTCATTTTAAAGAAGGCACTGGCTCTTCTATCACAGCTGCCTCAGAATTCCTTTTCTTTTTTGGAAAAATGATTCCCCAAAGAAGTGGTGTTTAGTTTAAATCCTGACTCAAAGAAAATATCAAAAGACTCTGACTTTGCTAATGTAGTAACATTAGCATTGGGCACCTTCCCTGTCCTCTCTGCAATGCTGCTTGAGCAGAATTACACTGGACCTGGCCAAAAGACTCTTCTCCCTTCTCCTGGATATCAGGATACCTGGGCAGCATTGTCTTACACCACAGCACAAGCTGCCACCTACAGCACCAGTGACACCACCCAGTGAGAGCAAGAAGCAGGGAAAACATGTGCCTTGCAGAGGGGACAAAGGAGCCCATGGAAAAATTAATACATTCTGTCTGCCACACAGGTCAGTCCTGCACTCATGACAGCCAAGATGGATGCCAAGCATGGGAGCACATGCTACACATCAGGCTACTTGAGTAAATATGCTATGTTTGAAAAGTACTGCAAGCGTGACATTTTGTGCTCAATTTTTTTAACTGTGCTTTCTACTTTATCACAAAGAGACAGACAGACATTAAGAGGAAAATTTACCAAAAATGAAATTATCTTCCCAGCTATCTTTAGGACAGTCTGTTCTTAGAAACTGTTAATATTATGCAACAGGGGCCAGAGGAGTGGGTCAAGTGGGAAAGCACCTGCCTAGCAAGCACAAAGACCTGAGTTCAAGCCCCAGTACCACCAAAAAAATAGTCAAATCATGAAACACAGTAATTTAACTTTAAATCTGTTCTGTATTAGTGTTGTCTTTCCCATTCCACCCTTAAGTATGGTCATTCAACTCTAGAAGAAGTAGCTAAGCTATGACTCGCTCCCTCCGTTACCGCTTATGTAAGTGAGAGCTACAAACCATCCACCGGTCATGAGAAAAGGCAAAGGATAAATAGCCATCACTGGGACCGCTCATCTCAACCATCACCGACTGGTCCTCTCTGGTGAAGGACAAGAAGACACAGGCAGGCTCCTTCTCTGGATCACAGTTCACAGGACTCCTAACACAGAACTTCCTGTTCCCACAATCTGAAGCACTGAACTGGAAAAGTGACAGAGGGGGAAAAACGTTAATGATCAAGCAGGCACTTCACTGCCAATCTCAGAAGAGCCACCACCTTCAAGTGTGAGTTCTAATGAGAAATCTTGTCACAATAAGGATTCAAGTAAGGGAACTGGATACACATCCCAAATTAGAAAAGACTGGAGCAGCAGGTAGTTTATAGACTCTTAAACTTAATTACTTTTAATTGAAATTTGGAAAATTTATACGAGTTAGCCTGCAGTGGTACAAGAGTGTCATAATTGCTTTAAGATACAAAAGCTTTCACATTCTTTTCTGGAGCAAAGTTTCTGGTAAACGTTGAAAAACTTCTTGGGGCATACGTCTACACCAGCAATTTTGCCTAACAGATATCTTCTAGTTTTCAGAGATGGGATTTTAAAAAGTCCATAAACAAACTCTTGGCAAGTTTGAATATTTAGATCTTGCTTCTAATATTCAGGCTCAAATTTGATGCTAAAGTAATTCAGGAAAAAATGTTACCCTGATCTATAGCTTCAATCTAAATAAGAGTAATAATTCAGCATGGGAAGAATAGGAAAGGATTGATAATAATTTAATCCAGAGTTTCTTAGCATGGCACACAAGAAGCGTCTCAAAAAAAAAAAAAAAAACCCTACAATTTGGCAGAGTAAACAAACAGGCCTTGTGAGGATGAGCTGTGAGAGCACATTTCAGAGAAAGTGATTATTTAACAAGCTTTAATGAGACACAAAGACTGGTCATAGTAAGGGGACAAAATCCTGCCAGTGGGCAGTGGAAAAGGTGGCCTTGGTTTCTCTCTCTCCTCTACTCCAGTGCGTTTGTGAAATGCCAAATGAGGGTCCTCCTACCTTCAACTGTACAAGAAGAAACCTGAGCAAAACAGAGCCTCAGGTCTCTATTAGCTCTAAAAATGCTACAATCCCATAACCCTGAACGAACCGCCCTGTAATTAGATTACACACTTGGCACAGAGACACAGTAAAAGCTCCAACAAAAGCTAATGCCTTTATCGACTACATAGAAAGACATCAAGATTGTCAACAGATTCCTACTAGGAAGCTGAGGTACAAACTGTTTATTCCCCTAAAGCAGTTTTCAAATAAATAAGCATTAAGACAAAAGTGGGAGCTAGTATAAATTATAGATGTAACCATGTCAAACAAAGGTACAGCATAATAATGTGGTCGATTATAATAGCCATATGTAAATTAAAAATTGTAAAAAGAGAAGGAAAGCAAAAATAAGACTATTACATAGGATAAAAGTCTTTACTTAGTCTTCTCTGTTGAGCAAAGTGATATGTAAGGACAAAGAAAGGGAAAAAAAGGACTGTTTACTAATGACTGTTAAGTTCGAGGCACAGTTAGAAAACTAATACTCGTTATTTTGTTTAATTCTCTTGGCTATGCTAAGAGCTAGATATTCTTGCTTCTCGTCCTTATTAGTGAAGAAACTGAAGATGAAATTTGAGTAATTTCTCCAAAGACCCACAGAAAGCAGACACGTCAGCCATGAGGCCCCAACTCAACTATCACAACCTGCCTTGAGACACTGTCCCTGTATCCACCTCTGAATTAGCCAGTCTAACTGATCAGAATCTCCTTCAGTGAAATGCTTCTGCTAACGATTCTCAGATGCATTACTCTCCCCAACAGTTTTTCAGTCATAATTCTTTAGAGTCAGAGGGCCTAAATGGAATTCTAGCTGATGAACTTGCAAGAGATTTTATGCAATTTAGTACATAGAATTCCCCAATATCTTTAACCTTAATGAATTAAGACCTAAGAGTTATACTGCCACTTCAAGAATCTCTCCCAAATCTTGTCTAAACTTAGCTTATGTTCTCTCTTCATGTTTGAATCATATTGACCATGAGGAAAGAAGGAAGAAAGAAAAGGGGACAGAGGGAGGGAAAGAGGAGAAATGATAAAAGGAGAGAAGGAAGAAAGGGAGGGAGGGAGAGAGGGAGGGAAAGAAATGGGAGGTGAGGGAAGCAAGGGAAAGGGAAGGAGAGGGGAAGGAAGGAAGGAAAGGAGGGAGAGAGGGAGAAACTTCCTCATTTATTTTCAAGTGAAAATAGATCCGTCACTAGTAGAAGCTATATGTGAATGTTACAGCCATATCTGAATATGCAAGGCCTTGCATTTCCTTTATTCTAACCTGTAAATCATAATGTTCCAATGAAGACTTCCTTCAGATTCCTACAGAGAACCCAAAAACTTGCTACCCAGTACATCTAGTTCTTACAATACACTTTGCCAAATAAAGAACCACAATTTTCAAGAAGGCAATTGTAGATTTTATAAAAAGGTGATTTGGGCTAGGCACCGGTGGCTCACACCTGGAAGGCTAAAATCAGAAGGATCAAGGTTCAAGATCAGTCCAGGCCAAAAGTTCACAAGACCACCATCTCCAAAATAACCAGAGCACAGTGGACTGGAGGTGTGGCTCAAGCGGTAGAGAATCTGTTCTGCTAAGTACAAAGCCCTGAAATCAAATCCCAGTCCCACCAAAAAAAAAAAAAAAGTACTTGGACTAAAGGTGTAGCTCAAATGGTAGAGCACCTGCCTAGCAAGCACAAGGCCCTAAGTTCAAACCCCAGAACTATCAAAAAAAAAAAAAAAAGTTACTTACTGGTTTGGTTAAATGGGAGACTGGAGGTGATGGTGACAAAGGTGCTATTGTAACTGTAGGTGTCGTTAAAGGAAGTGCGTTTGGCTGTGAAATTACATCACTAGGAATCCTCACCCAGTAGATTTTATACTTCTCAACAACTGTGACTCTGAAATGCAGTACCAGTGGGATTAGACAAAACTGACCGTGACCATCATAACCACATCAAAACTTAAAGGAAAAAGGGGGAGATGAATTAGGAACATGCAAGTTACATGAGATAAATCTCTAAAGGGCTCTTCCACCCCATCCCTAGGTAAACTTTCCTCACTCTCTCTCCTCTGTCTCTCTTGTTTCTTATTTGTCTGTTCTTTGTGCATATTAGCAGCAAACATGCATGCCAGACTCAAGACTTCTGTGTCCTGACATGCAAGGAAGGCAATACTACTCATTTCATGGTGTACTATCCATCTCTTCCAAAGGCCATGCATAGCAGGCAGATACAGCAGGCAGCTCTGTAGAGGCTGCTAACAAAGTGACATCAGCTCTCACTGGGGTCACTTCTTTTTCACGTTCCACCTGACCCACAGGTGCAAAGCTATGTTACAATGTGCTGGCGGCCTGTGTACAAAGTTAAGCAAAAACCAGACACACATCATTTTCCCTGAAAACATACATCTGGGGCCAGGAGCAGGGATCACACCAATAATCCCAGCTACTGGGGAGGCAGAGATCAAGAGGATCAAAGTTCAAGGTCAGCCCAGGCAAAAAGTTCTCAAGACCCCATCTCAACCAATAGCTGGGCGTGATGGCATATGCCTGTCACCCCATCCACGTGGGAAGCCAGAATAGGAGGATAGCAGTTCAGACTGCACCAGGCAAAAACTTGAGACTTTATCTCAAAAATAATGAAAGCAAAAAGGGCTGGGGGCGTGGCTCAAGTAGTAGAGCACCTGTCTAGCAACTGCAAAGCCCTGAGTTCAAATTCCAGTACCATACAAAAAAAATATGTATTTAATTTATATATTTGTGTGTGTGTGTGTGTATGTGTAACATCAGCCATCATTATGTGGTTTTGTGACCTTTCACATAGGAACAGGGAAGAAATACATTTTAATCCTGAGAATCATGATTCTGAGAAACATTCAAAGACTTACTTTTCTGACAATCCAATCTGCAAGTTGTAACACTGCAAAACCAAATATGTCATCCAAATTTCAGGACTGTCTTATTTGTATTCTCATAGCAAAACAGGAGCAAATATCTTAAAAGATGTTACTCCCTACACAGCATACTCAAGTATTAACAGGTGGTTCTGGTTAAGGTAATACAATACTTCATTCACTCAACAAGTGTCTATTAAGTGCCTGTTAAGTACCAAGTCACATCAGGCTTGGTGGAGGATGAGGCTTGGAGGATCTCAAGTTCAATGCCAGCCTGGGCCACACAGCAAGTTTGAGGCAAGCCAGGGCTATATAGCAAGACCCTGACTCAAAAAAAAAAGAGAAGACCGAGTCCTGGCTAGGTGCTGGGTACTGGTGGAAAAAACAAACTCTCAGATCACTAAGCTGGTGACATTACTGTCCCAAAACTCTGTGACATGTGTGAATGCAGAGTAGAATAGAAAATACTGCAGACCATATGATTTTGATTTATATTGGTTTGAGAGATATAAACTCTTCTACTCACAGAAACCGTATGTGATCAGGGGCACTGCTTGGAGCATTCCAGTAGACTTTAATTTCTGTTTTTTTGGATGAACTTGTGTGGCTCACTGCCGATCCCTGAAATAAAATGGAAAAGAGCTACCGTTCAGTCACCCGGTAAATCAGCATAAATGGAACCGCTATCCTCCTGCAAAGTAATTTGTCATTACTTGTCATGATATCTGGTGAAGACTGTTTTATTTACAAGTACTCAGGTACTCAATAAATTCATGTAGATTGGTTGTCAACATATTAGCAGTTGGAAATTCAGAACTGAATTTCCAGTGAATATTGCCTGTGCTAACACTAGACAAAGCCTGGTCATTGCTTCATTTACCCTATAAATTTATATTCCTTCCATTAATCAAAGCAAATAAAATGAAAAAGATTCCTCAGAAGAAAAAAGGAATCCTTCCTTCCTCCCAAAACAGCATTTTTTAGTAATTCTTTTCCTTTTTTTTTTTTTTTTTTTTGTGTGTTTGAACTCAGGGCCTATACTTGAGCCACTCCACTAGTCCTTTTCACAATGGGCTTTTTGAGATAGGGTCTCATGAACTATTTACCCAGGCTGGCTTCCAACAGCAATCCTCCTGATCTCTGCCTCCCAAATAGCTAGGATTATTGGTGTAAGCCACTGGTGGCCGGCAGTAATTCTTTTATTTTGTTTGTTTGGATTTGGTTTTTGGTTTTTTTTAAGGCACTGGGGTTTGACCTCAGGGCCTCACACTTGCTAGGCAGGCATTCTTACTGCTTGAGCCACTCTGCCAGCCCAATCCTTTTCTTTAGAACAAGTTTATTTCCCACTTTTCACTTGGCAAACTTACATATTCTCAGGCTTGTTTTGTTCTGTTTTGGTTTTTGGCAACACTGGGGTTTGAACTCAGAGCCTAGTGCCTGCTAGGCAGGTGCTCTATCACTTGAGCCATGCCCCAGCACTTTTCTTTTGTTTTGAGACACAGTCTTGCTATGTAACCCGGGCTGGCCTACAATGCACAATCCTCCTGCCTGAGCCTCCCAACTGCTAGGATTATAGACATGCATCACTCTGACAACTGCTACACATTCTTTAAAGGCCAGCTTAATGATCACATCCTCCAGGAATCTTTTTTCCAATTCCCTCCAGCCTGTCTGTGGCTCCCTCTTCTGTATGTCCCACTCTCCTGTGTATGCTCTAACCTAAGTTGTCATACTGTTCTACTTATGTACCTGTCCCATGTGTACATGGTTCTACTTCTTTTTTCTTTTTTTCATTTTTCTTTTATTATTCATATGTGCATACAAGGCTTGGTTCATTTCTTCCCCCTGCCCCCACCCCCTCCCTTACCACCCACTCCGCCCCCTCCCTCTCCTCTCCCCTCAATACCCAGCAGAAACTATTTTGCCCTTATTTCTAATTTTGTTATAGAGAGAGTATAAGCAATAATAGGAAGGAACAAGGGTTTTTGCTGGTTGAGATAAGGATAGCTATACAGGGCATTGACCCACATTGATTTCCTGTGCGTGGGTGTTACCTTCTAGGTTAATTCTTTTTGATCTAACCTTTTCTCTAGTACCTGTTCCCCTTTTCCTATTGGCCTCAGTTGCTTTAAGGTATCTGCTTTAGTTTCTCTGCGTTAAGGGCAACAAATGCTAGCTAGTTTTTTAGGTGTCTTACCTATCCTCACCCCTTCTTGTGTGCTCTCGCTTTTATCATGTGCTCATAGTCCAATCCCCTTGTTGTGTTTGCCCTTGATCTAATGTCCACATATGAGGGAGAACATACGATTTTTGGTCTTTTGGGCCAGGCTAACCTCACTCAGAATGATGTTCTCCAATTCCATCCATTTACCAGCGAATGATAACATTTCGTTCTTCTTCATGGCTGCATAGAATTCCATTGTGTACAGATACCACATTTTCTTAATCCATTCGTCAGTGCTGGGCATCTTGGCTGTTTCCATAACTTGGCTATTGTGAATAGTGCTGCAATAAACATGGATGTGCAGGTGCCTCTGGAGTAACAGTCTTTTGGGTATATCCCCAAGAGTGGTATTGCTAGATCAAATGGTAGATCGATGTCCAGCTTTTTAAGTAGCCTCCAAATTTTTGGTCTTTTGGGCCAGGCTAACCTCACTCAGAATGATGTTCTACATGGTTCTACTTCTAAGTTATATGTCCTGTGTCCATCTGTTTGACTTATGTTCTTCAAGGAGAGAGAGTAAGTCTTGTTCATTTCCATATCCCTTGTACCCAAGGCAATTCCTAGTACAATAAATGTTTAAGCCAGGTGCTAGTGGCTCATGGCTGTAATCCCAGCTACTTAGGAGGCAGAGATCAGGAGGATCATGATTCAAAGCCAGCCTGGGCAAATAGTTCGTGAGACCCTATCTCAAAAAAACCCATCACAAAAATAGGACTGGTGGAGTGGCTCAAGGTATAGGCCCTGAGTTCAAGCCCTAGTACCGCAAAAAAAAAAAAGTTTATGAAATGAATGAATGACAAAAATTAGACCTCTGTCCCATTCTAGAGCTCTATCTTCACTGGAGTCATGTCTCAAGTAGTAGAACTCCTGCCTAGCAAATGCAAAACTGAGTTCAAACCATAGTACCACCAAATATATACCTTCAATGCTGAAACCCTTAAAAAATCAACACAGTAAGAGTCAATCTGACATAAAACATCACAAACCATAAACTCTTCAAGTTATTGCCCTACCTTTCCTGAGATGCTGATGTATAAGCACAAATGACAAGTAAATTAGGGGAAAGTTTGGTCCTGTAAATCAATTCAAATGCCTGCAACACAAGGTAATGTCATCATTTATCCTATAATCACCACCCCATAAAAAACAGACCTCAGAAAACTGACAATAACCAGTTTTAAACTAAACACAAACCTGTACGTCTTCACAAGTCAGAAGCTGTGACACTTGGCTGTCAATCAGTGTGAAGGAGCCAATAGGAAGGCCACTCAGATCCTCAGCATCATGAGCTTCTAAGAGAAAACCCTTAAACGGTGGTCCTGACAAAGTAACTGAGAAATGATAAAACAGGTTAAAAGACTTAGCAGACCTAAAACAGAATGTTCCAAGGGGGAGTTACCACAGAATCAAGCACATGTATACAAAACTACTGCAGAGAAAAGAGTAAAAGTCATCCTGAAGATAGAGAGTGTCTACACCGTGTTCTGCAGCACCTGTTAACAGCCATTCCATCACACAGGTGATGGCCCAGGGGCAGTCAACAGAGCAAAATTCATTTGAAAAGGCTAGATGAAAGTAAATACACGCTTCCTTACTGTAAATCCCATGGGGTCTTTAATATTCTACTGTGTAATGTGAAATTCTAAAGATAGATTGATTGATAGAAAATAAATATAGATAATTGATTGATTGATTGATTGATTGATTGATAGATGACAGATAGATAACATACATGTATTCCAAACCTGTTTCTTTTTTTTCTTTTCTTTCTTTCTATTTTTTTTTTCTTGAGGTTCTGGGGATTCAACTCAGGTGGATCCAACTCTGGTGCACGCTAGGCAAACACTCAACCACTGAGCTACATCCCAAGCCCCAAACTTATCTCTTCATACAACCTTTCTGTTAAAGGTACCTATTAATATTTTGCATTTCTAGACTTGCAAAAACTAGAGTTTATTAAATGTTGTTATAGGTACACTTTTAACAGTCAGCCTACAATTTGCCAGAATACTTAAGGAAACACAAGAGACTATATTATTTTTCTTAAAATAGAAGTAAATACATAAGCTATGACTAAAAAAAATTTTTTAAAAACCTGTTCTGAGTAGAGAGTAGATATACCACTTATATAACATATGTAAACAAAAAATGACAAGTATAAGATATCTTACAAAACAAGTGAATAGATTTGAATGAAATCAACTAAATCCTATTAATAAAGACTCAATGCATAGTAAAAGAGTGGAACTCAAGATGAGAGTAGTTACTGCCAGCACAGTACCTTCTATCCGATCTCCTGGTCGGAATTTCCTCTGGCTCACTGCAATGTGGTGGATGGGCTCAGACTGGGGGCTGTGGCCATGAAGGGGAACCATTCCACGGCACGACTTTGTGACTTTTCCATTAGGGTAATTAACCACAGAACTAACGAGCAACACAAACACGAAGGTACCAAGGGTAAATCCAGGAGCTGCCATCTCAAAAGAAAGTTAAAAGGACATCATTTTCAGACATGATTAAAATAAAATACAAAAGCTTTTGTAATACAACAAAGGAATTCTACAGAACTACTTGCTTTCAACCTTCAGCTATCCATATTCTCGAAGTGCATGACAAAAAAAAAAAAAATGTGCCCTGCAAAGTGTATACCTGGGTTTGAATCTCACTGTCCAATATCAACTGGGGGTGGGGGAAGAGGCTAGAAAAGTGCCTCAAGTTGTAGAGCCCCTGCCTAGCAAGTGTGAGGCCCTGAGTTCAAATCCCAGTACTACCAAAATACATCTGTGTGTGTGTGTGTGTGTGTGTGTGTGTGTGTGTGTGTGTATCAACTGGGAGCTTTTGGGGAAATCACTCAAGTCTCTGCTTCCCTTCCAGAAAAGTGAGGAAACTAAGACCCTCCTTTCAATGTTGTTTCAATACAATGACGATACAGCTCATAGTCCCTGACAAAGATAAACAAATGAATAAGCTTCTTGATGGTGCTGGAGAATTAATTATCGGTCCCAATAAAAGCAAAAGGTTTTACCCCACTTTCATCTTTAGAAAGTATTAAGGAGTAATCTATCCAATATAAATATCATCGTCTAAATAAATCTTTGGTATAACTCTCCCAATTCCCATTAAAATAGCTGTTAAGCAATGGGCAGGTAATTTAGCTAAGAAAAAGGAAGACACAATTAACACACTAATAAAGGAGAGAAAGAATGACATCACATAAAAATCCTCAACTAAATTCACAAAAAGGCAGAAAAAGAGCAGAAGCTAAAACAGAAAACAAAAGAAGGAGGTTCAACAATACGAAAATTCTAACATGAAAGGTAATCAATAATCACTTTGAACCTCAAACAGTCTAACTGCACCCAATTAAAAGACAGGGGTTGTCCTACAAAGATTCATTTTAACAAATAAAGACAACACGTAAAGATTAAATAGTAAAGTGGATAGGAGGGCTGACAGTGTGGCCAAGTGTACAGTACCAACCTAGCAAAGTAGAAGGCCCTGTGTTCAAACCCCAACACAGCCAAAAAAAAAAAAAACAAAAGGAAAAGGATGGAGAAAGAT